TGTCAATATAAGAGTATGCAACACTACTTAATTTCCAAATGGAAAGTTGATGAATCTGCTTTATCATATTCTATTTATCCAAAAGAAAAAGCATTTCTATATGTAAACTTCTCCTAAGACCTTGCTTTAAAACTGTCATTTCCTTCTCTTTTCCTTTTTTCTCTCTTCTCACATAAGTATTGATTTCATTTCTTAATTTTATTACAAAAAAAATTATCATAGAATGGTAGTGAAACAGAGCAGCACGCAGAGCGATCGAAGCATCCCTTACTGCGTTTATCTACGCATATGAACATGAAATAATCTAATACCAGTTGTGTTTGGAGCCTTTATGACTAATTTTGTGTGTAAAACTAATTAATTTTTAATAAAAAGAGAGAGAGTAGAATTTAAGATAAACTATTTCAGGAAATCGAATTTCATGGCTCTATTAATTTTTAGTCGACATCAAACGCATGTAGACCAAATGCTAAAAAGGAAATCGAAATCGTTTTTATACCTAACATCTTAGTGGGAAATGGAAATCCAAACTAAATGGAGGCCATTCATGCCATGTAGAAAAGGAAAAAGGTAGAGCAAAGAAACTTTCCTTTGTTCTTTCCTATAACAGAACTATTTGAAGGAAGCCATTTTCCTTTTATTTAATTATAAATTCTCTTCCATCGACATGGTGAGAACACATCAAACGTATGGCGCATGGCGATTTGCATAATCCATTTCCAACAACCTTAAAGGTTTCTTTATGCTTTCCCCATGTAAATCATGTAGGTAAGCCACATTTTTCAATTATATTATATACAAAAGTATAATAATAATTTCAAAAAAAAATATTGCAAACAAGAACAACTTCATTATCAACAATAAAAAAAATAAATACAATGAGCTTGATAAACGGGTAACCACATAAAGAAAAATAATTCAAATTAAATTTAAACAAGATAACTTTAAACATAGATTCTAAATTTAATGAAATATAATTATCGAAAAAATGTTATACAACGAAAATTAGAATTTTATTTTTGAGAGGAGTGTTTGATTACTAAATGTGTTACACATTAATTAAATATCCACTAGCATATAATTAACAATTTATCAGTCTACATCTAAAGATTGTGTTAGCTTAATGTAAACCACATTGGAAAATTTGACTATTTATAGAAAATTCATACTCTCAACACATGGTCAATAGAGTGTGGCTAAATTCCATCGCCTCGAATTTCTCATGGGTCTTAAGGAATGTGCAAGCACATGCTCAATAAAAAGAAAAGAAAAGAAAAATCAAGACTTGTTTTTGGTCCTTTTGGACCCCTTCTAGAAGGCAGTGAATGGTAATCCAATTTTAAGTGAAACAACCACAATTTCAATCCTCATCTTCAGGCTAGAAGCTTACTTGGAATTTCACTGCAAAGTTATCTTCTCAGGATTTTAAAATCAGCTTTATTTTTCGTTTGCTTCTTGTACAGGGAAAGGTCATAGATTTGGAAGTCGCCTGGGAAATGCAGGAGAGACCTTGGCTTGTGGACCTGGCAACCCTTCAACTTTCGCCATCCCAAATTCTCAACATTGAAATAGTCTTTTTCCCATAATTCCAATACAAAGTTGGTTCAACAAGCATAATTGCACCAATGCATCTGTTGCACGTCTAGTTTCCAGGATTTGATAATCCTTCCAATAGAAGACCAAGTTTTCTTGCATAAGCAAGGAAAAAGAAAGAATAGCCATATATTTACATGAAAGAAAGGCAAATCGAAAACTTACGAATAAGTGATTTTTTTTTTATTTTTTTAGAAAAATCCCAAGTAAAGAATTTCTTTTTAATAATCATTAAATTTGTCCTTTAATTACACTTTAACTGAGACGAATTCGTTCGTTGCTAGATTGATAAAACCGAAATCTTTTGTACAAGTGACTTCTTTGCTATTTTGTAAAAGAAAAATCTCAATTATAGAGTTTCCTTTGAACGAGGGTTCTCTCAGCCTTATTGTAACTCTCTTAAATGGTCAAATCCCCTTGTCATTCTTGACCTTAAATGCTGCCCATTGTCCTTTGCTCTCCTAAATTTCTCTACCATTCTTTAATGTGGGTTATTAAAATAATCGGACCAAGATGATGAGGTGCTGAATATTTGCATCCTTTTCTAGTATTAAAGACGAAAATTCAGATAACGTGTTGCAGAAAATGCCAACATCAAATCTGAAAGGGAACACCCCAAAAACCATTGATTTTCTTCTTTTTTTTTTTTGGTTGACAGGAGTAAATTGAAATTCCAAATTCCTTTAATTAATTTGTCTTTAGCTTTACAGTGACGATACCTCGTGCTGTTAGCAACATCAACTCATTTAATGACAGGTGATTAATTTAGCTTACGTAGAATAAAAGCTTACATCCATCTTTTGTTCTTCTCCTTCATATAATTTCCCATCCCCTACAATCTTCACAGCAACGACTAACTTTGCCTCACTTTTTACAGGTTTTTCCCAAATTCAATGAGAGTGTAGGGCCAATGGGTATTTTTAAAAGCAAAGAGAGAAATCAATTGGCTCTAGGTTCATAAAGGGTGTTAATGGCTTCTGACCCCTTTTTTTCTCCATTCCTGACTAATTCATTTGACCGTTTTATCTAATTTTACTCATATCAGACACATATCCTACACTTTAACATATTAAAGATATATAAAATTTTTAATTACATCATCCAAAAAATATGGAGAAACACGTTGACAGTTGAAGCATGTTCGAGTTTGCGTAATATGGTTGAAAATTAGTGTCATATCTATTATATGAATGAGTATTACTCGATTAAAATCGAAATTGAATTGTGTTTTTGATTTAGGTAATAATTGATTTAGTCTATTTTAATTATTTTCATAAAAATTCATTTAATTTAATTTTTAAAATTTTAAAATTTTAAAATCGAACCGACGAAGCTGTTGAAATGCTCACACATTTATTTTGCTTTTGTTAAGAAATGAGAATGGAACTGGGCCATGTGCTTATTGGGGGGCCACTAGTCTTATATGGATCCGGGTTGTGTTTCTGTTGCTTTCATTACTCATAAATAATCCTTAAAAGTTTTTCCCAACAGGCCGATCCTCACGGCCGTCTTTAATTAATGTATGGGGCACCGAACTTGACAACTATTGCAGCAGGAATCAACCGATTGCCAACATAAAAGCAAGCATATTATTATGTGAAGCAGATTTCATCTCTGCTCAGGCAAATACAAAAAAGGCCTGCATCTGTTTTTATTAGTAGCATTAACTTTTCTTCTCTGCCCTCTGAACTCGAAGCAATTAAGAATAAATCTAGAATTTCATGTTTACATTTTAGATACCACTTAACAATTATATGAATAAATATAAATAAATAAGATTAATTAAATTAATTAAAATTTTAAAAATATATATAAGTATACATAATATTTACCTTGTTTTATTTTAATTTGAAGCAAGTAAGAATACATTTAGTATTTCGTGTTTAGGTAGAGTTTAATAGTTATGTAAATAAATACAAATAAGACATAATTGATTAAATGAATTAAAATTTTATATATGTATACGGATATGTATATGATACATAATGTAACACGATTAATAATTTATTAAATAAATCAAATTAAATTTAATATGATATGATTATAATACGATAAATTCATTAAATAAGTTAAATATGTCATATGTGAATTAATTGAGCTTAACTCATTTGAGAAGTAAAAATTGTTATGTCCAAATTCGTTAAAGATATGATATACGATAATTTTAAATTAAAAATGTCATTTAATTTTATGTCATTTTTATGTCATGTAAATGATTTATGTCTAAAATTATCAAATCGAAGTAAGATAATCATATTTACAGAAGAAATAATGAAAATTTTAAAACATGAAAAAGAGAGAAAAAAAAAAAAACAAGCACAAAAAGGTAAGTTGGCCTTTGTGAAATCAAACAGGACCCATCAATCAAAACAAGCTTCGCATACCAAAAACAATGATGAATTTTTCTTTCTTAATTATCAAGGTTTCTGCTCGCAAATGCAAGCAACAAAGGAGCAGGCCGGGGGGGAAGCTGGTTGATGGAGGGTCAAAATGAGACCCACACCTTTGAACTTACAACAAAGACTAATGAACACAAAAGAGACAGACACAGAGGTCCCTTCTCAATATCAAATGTCTGCAAATGAAAAGAGACAAAGTGGCATCTTTTCTTCTTATATAGCTCTCTTGCTCTCTTTCCTTTCTATATTTCCCTATTGTCCTACCCATTACCCTAAATCTTGATGATTCCCTTTGACATGTTTCATTTGTAATTTTGACCACCAACAGCTGCATAATTCTTGTTTAATTACTCTTAATAAGTAGATTCGATTTTAAGGCATTTAAATAATACAAAACGATTAATTTACCGATTCTACGACGTTGCATATATATATTTTTATTACTTTTTCATGTAAGTAAAAAAAAATAGAAAATAAAATATTAAAAAGGAATTTGATTTGTATTCTTTTTGCTTTTGTGTTTTCCTGGTTGATTTACTTAAATTTTTTTTAAAGGTACCGTCAATTTGATGATAATTATTTAAAATTTCAAATTTGACCCAAAATTTTGTTATCCTTCTCCTAGTAGCACTTTCAATTTGTAAACAATGGGCATAAGTTTGACTACGAGCGTCAACAACACCATCCAAGTTTTCTCACTTTGTTACAAATATAAAAATAATTTATCATGTAAAAAGGGGTTTCACATTTGAATAAATACCCCATCGAATTTATACTTTTTCCCCCTTTTTCTTTATTTAAAACAATATTTAAAAAAGCATTTAAATTCTTATTTTTCGTAATTTTTTATATTGAAAAACATTAAACGTCTATGTTATTTTAAAAACGAGACTTAAGATATTGGGAATAGAAAATATTATGATTAAAGAAAAGGGGTTTTGACAATAAAAATTAAATTAATTAATTCAAAGGCCTATCATACTGTCTGTTTTCTAGTTGTTTATTAAAATGCGGACAATCCCCCGGTATAACGCGAAACACTCAACCAATCCCCACCACCCTTCACCCCTCCGTCTCTTTTCCCACTCCACCGTCCCGTTTCCGTTTCTCTCTCTTCGATTAGCCGACAAAGTTCACAGAATCAAAGAACATCCACGATTTTTAAAAAAATACATTAAAATTAAAATTATTTTATTTTATTTTATTAAAAAAAAGAAAATTAAAAATATCAAAAGACGAACTCTCACTAAAAGTGTCTGCTCCGTTGCCGTACTCACTAATTTCTTTCTCTCTCTCTCTGTCTCTCTCTTTCTCAATCACTCTCTTCGCTTTGATTCCAGTCTATCGGAGCTAGAAAGCTAGGGCTTGTTTTGCTTTTTACCTATAATGTGAAACCCTAGCTAAGCATTTCTTGGTGTAGGGCGGGTGTTTGGTTTTTTTTAGCGGTGGTTGGTTTCGACGAGATCCGGGGGAGGGAGGGGGGGATAAGGCTGTGTTTTCGTAGGGGGGGGCGGGGGGGAGTGAATGGGAATTGTTGTAGATCTCCAGCGGCCGTCGCGAGGGAGGACGTAAAATCGAACTTCTCCGCACACGATCACGCCCGTAAAGATTCCGTTTTCAAGCAGAAGCCGCGATCACGGTGTTGAACGGGGTTCCGAAGGAGAACATTGAGGAGAAGTACCTGGTGGATCGCGAGCTGGGACGAGGTGAGTTCGGGTTACTTACCTTTGCATCGACCGGGACGCGCGAGTTGCTCGCGTGCAAGTCTATCTCGAAGAGGAAGCTGAGGACCGCCGTGGATATCGAGGATGTGAGACGGGAAGTTGCGATAATGAAGCATTTGCCGAAGAATTCGAGTATCGTGAGCTTGAAAGAAGCTTGCGAGGATGACAATGCGGTTCATCTGGTGATGGAGCTTTGCGAAGTGGTGAGCTCTTCGATAGGATCGTGGCCAGAGGACATTACACTGAGAGAGCCGCCGCCGCGGTAACGGAGGACGATTGTGGAAGTGGTTCAGCTTTGCCATAAGCATGGAGTGATTCATAGAGATTTGAAGCCTGAGAATTTTTTGTTCGCTAATAAGAAAGAGAATTCGCCGTTAAAAGCTATCGATTTTGGGTTATCGATATTTTTCAAACCAGGTAAGTTGTTCAAAGTTTGAATGTATAAATAACTGAGTGCCTTTTCAAGAATGTACCATCTTTAGTTCGAATTATGAGTGATAACGCTTGGTTCGAATTATTTAATTATTGAGCAAAGATTGTATTTTGACAAGCTGGGTTCTGATTATGCCACGAAAACATTTGACCCTGAAGGAAAGGTACATGGAAGAATGATCTAAGTTTGTGGGATTAGACATGCCGATGTGGTGTAGCCTGTATGCATTTATCTGTTTATTCGTTTGTTTATGGTTTTTGTAGTGACGAAATACGCACTTTGGTTAATTTTATTTGGCTATGCCTATGCTTTAAGGTAGCTTTTATGGGCTACTGTAGTAGCTCCAATCCCTTTGAAGCAATGTTACTAGGCACTTATATTGCCTGAAATGAACAAACAGAAGAATGTGGTTGCGCATGTTTCAGCCTTGTTAACAACAGTTTTTCATGTACTTTGTCTGTTCTTTTGCAAATTGAATCACTATTGGTTCGTTTCCCTTTATGGTGGAAGGTGGAAGCTTACTTTTTTTCTTGCAAGTCTCGTAGGTTTGTTTCTTTTTATTTGTTTATATATTTTCTTTTTCATTATCTGTCACAATTGAACACTTTGGAGTCTTTGATTTCTCTTTTCTTCTCCTAAAAAAGAATATTGTATATATCTTTCTCCTTGGTTTAAATCTATAATACTGATTACTTACCTCAAATTGAGGACGAAACATTGTAAGTTTTAGGTATGGTAATTGCTGCTGTTCATCTGATTTTCAATACTTCAATTTTTTTCTCATACTGATCCATTAACCAATGGCCATTGAGTTATCAGCACTATTGGTGACGCTCAGTTATGTTTGTGACAAGAATTTTCTCTTAAAGTGATCTTGCATGGTCACACTAGGGAAACTCTGAACTATAGCTTTATTGAATGGATACAAGTTTCCTTGCTTCCTTTTCATGAGGTGTCATGGGTAATGCAGTGGTTAACCTTATAGCAGATGTGTCTCAAATAAAGTAGATTGTCCTTACCCCAGATGAATGGTCCAATTTTTGAAATCGTTTAGTAGACTATATAGTTTCTGTCTGCTTTAGGTTTTTTGAAGATTTTCATGTTTTATTACTCAAGATGGGGCTGAGTTTACTTGTATTAATTCCTTTAATATTTTCATTTCCAGGAAACTGGTATAGCAGGCACCATAAGTCCAAGGTTTCATGTGCTAAAAAGTTTCTGCCTAATTTATCTCTGTCTGATCAATAATTTCCCAGTTTTGATCACAAAATCTGTGTGGTTGGGTTGGATGTGTTATGGATACACTGGTGGGGGTATGAAATAGTACGGGTGGAACATATTATGATATTTAGGATAAGCTCTGCGGGCCTATAGTTTGACCACTTTTCCTTCTATTATTGTAGATTGTTTTTTTTTTTTTTATTATTTTCAATTATGTTTTAATGCCTATAATTTGTAAATTTCAGGTGAACGATTCTCTGAGATTGTTGGAAGTCCATATTATATGGCTCCTGAGGTGCTCAAACGAAATTATGGACCAGAAATAGATATATGGAGTGCAGGAGTCATACTCTATATTTTGTTGTGTGGGGTTCCTCCTTTTTGGGCTGGTAAGTATATTTCTGTCGAATATCTTTGTCTGTATGCAGGTGTGTGCATATCTGTTGGATGTGCTGATGTGCATTAATGCATCAAAAATAAGTTGAATTGTTATTCCTACTTAAAGTGTACTTTTGATGCAGAGTCTGAACAAGGTGTTGCACAGGCCATTCTTAGAGGGTTAATAGATTTCAAACGGGACCCATGGCCAAATATTTCAGAGAGTGCTAAGAGTCTAGTCAGGCAAATGCTGGAACCAGACCCAAAGCTTCGTCTCACTGCAAAACAAGTGTCTTGGTAGTATCATTTCCTCTGTGCTACTCCTAGATGAACTTGTGTATGTTTCATGGAAGGGAGTTGATGGGACTGGGGTGGCTAGGCCTTAAGGCGTAGCCTTTGATGATTCTATTTGATCTTCTGATAGGCTCTTTCTACACCTTCAAATATAAGATAAAATCTTATTAATATCACCTTCCCAGTTTACTTCAAAATTTATTTTACCAACGCATATGTTCCTATTGCTTTCTCCATTAAATTAATATGATATGACTAGTGATAGTTTACGCCTAATCTGTGTGTTGCCTCTTCTCACAGAGCATCCTTGGCTCCAAAATGCTAAAAAAGCTCCCAATGTTCCTCTTGGCGATGTTGTTAAGTCAAGGCTTAAACAATTTTCAATGATGAACAGATTCAAAAGAAAAGCCCTGCGGGTTGGTTCACTAATGCTGAGAATTCTGCTAGATCATTGGTTATTTCTTTCATTCCTGGGGTTATCTTAAAGGTTAATTTGAATTAGGTTATTGCTGAGTTCTTATCCATTGAAGAAGTTGAAGACATCAAAGAAATGTTCAAGAAAATGGACACTGACAATGATGGCATCGTTTCAATTGAAGAGCTGAAAGCTGGATTTAGAAATTTTGGTTCACACCTTGCAGAGTCTGAAGTGCAGATGCTTATTGAAGCTGTGAGTGTGTTTTGGTTTATACTCTGCCTTGAATTAACAAGTATTATGATACCTTATTTTCCTGGTTTGTGCTAATTCTCATCGAAATATCAGTCAAAAATCTTTTTCACTTTCTCAGTACAGATACTTTTTGTAAGTGTAGTCGTACAATATGATCATAAGAACTACTAGTTGACCAAGACTTGTTCTAATTTCGCGAACTCTTATTGTCAATTGGGCTGCTTGGAGACTCACGCTAGTCACCGATCGGTTTAAATATTTAAGCTGAATCATTTCATGCGGTAATCAGACATAATATTATATCCCCATATATATATATATATATATTTTATGTTATGCAGTTCTTTTAAAGATTCATGGATCTGTTGTTGTCTTTAACTGTGATTTTGTTTATTAGTATTAATGGTAATGCTTGTGTGGCTTTCCTTTTTTCATTTTCCTATGAAGTATGTTTGTCCAATTGATAGAGCAGCCTTGTAGAAGTTGGATATCTGATGATAGTTTACGGTAAGAATTTGAAGGAGTAGGTGGCCTTCGACCACCAAATGTCATCACCTCCTGCAATTATAAACATGCACAGACAAAGCTATAATAATGGGAAGGCTTAGGTTGCCTAGAATCAGTGTCACTACATTTTCCAAGTAGAGAAACAAGAATGCATTTTAGTTTTTTGAAAGAATAGACTGTCTTTAGAAAAAGAGAGTATTTAGCAGCTAGTCGGCCAATACTAGTTTTATGTAGGAGTTCTACAGTTGTTATTAGAGCTTTTACTTTAGTAGTTCCTATAGGTTGCAATTTTTTGGTGTTGATACTAGAGGCCATTGGTAATGCTGCTTTCCCCCCTTTTATCTCTTTTCCTTAGCTGTTGATCAATTTTGAATTTGATAAACACCTTTAACAGTTTTCCTACTTGTCGAGATGTTTCCCTAATGTGGCTGAAATTCCCTCAGTCCATTCTGACATATCCAATTTTAACACAGATAGTGGCATCATAGCCTAGGCATGTGTTTCTTTTAATTTTGAATGCTAAAAATATGTTTGTTGACAACAGGTTGATGCTAATGGGAAGGGAACATTGGACTATGGGGAATTTCTTGCCGTATCTCTCCATCTGCAAAGAATGGCCAATGATGAGCATCTTCGAAAGGCCTTTTCCTATTTTGACAAAGATGGCAATGGTTACATTGAGCCTGATGAGCTTCGGGATTCATTAATGGAGGATGGAGCAGATGATTGTACTAGTGTTGCAAATGACATCTTCCAAGAAGTGGACACAGACAAGGTGATGACCTGAATGTTTGTCACTAATAGATTTATTAAGCATATTTCAATTTGACTGACAATTCTTTTGCAAATGCAGGATGGACGTATCAGCTATGATGAATTCGCAGCCATGATGAAAACTGGTACAGATTGGAGAAAGGCTTCTCGACATTACTCAAGAGGGAGATTCAACAGTCTAAGCATGAAGCTGATGAAGGATGGTTCTCTGAACTTGGGGAATGAGTAGGCATCATCATACCAGTTCTTTGTTTAGTTCATCCTTGCAAGAAAAAGTACCGGATCATTCCTTGTATATCTTTAGACTTTGCTTTCTCTTGTGATTATTTGCGGAGGAGGGCTCTTTGCATTGAATGGGGTCCTTTTTGCCTGGTGGTTTTACAAGGAATTATGGAGGGGCCAAGTTCACCTTGTTTGTCTCTGCTAATGTTAATCGTGGAAAACACCTTGTGGCCATAGAGTTAGGCGTGTATGATTCTCTCTTACCACTACCAACCTTTTTTGATTATTGTTTCTGGTTGACAACATGGGATTGAATTGTGTAGTGCTTAATATATTCTTGCCTAAAGAAAATATGGTCTCTTGCCTCTTGCGTTTTGGGTGCCAAATGGAATTTTACATCGGCATGCTTGGACATGTCTGGCACTTTGTAGGGTCATATCAGCACCTGCCAATTGCGTTGCAGCCATCACACATGGGAGGCTCTGGCCATACCTTTCCAGTCCAGGATCGGATTGGAAGGCAGATTGTAGCCCATTGTCGCATAAAGCTTCAGTATAGACTGTTTAGTAGTCCACTGGACCATAGGTTTCGAAAAGTCAGCGACAGCCGACAGTGGTTAATTCTTGTGTTGCTGTTGGGCGCTGGCTGATCTTTATTCTGACTCTCTTTGCAGCCCAAGATTAACTCTTGCGTCAGTCTTGGGGCAAGCTTGATCGTTTTTTCAGAGTGCGGACCACATCTATCTAGCCCAAGATTAGCTTGGAAGTTGTATTTTTGCCCAGTGTTCCGTAAGCTTCGATAGAGTTTTCAACTGAGGCTGATTCTTGCGTGTAGGCAGGCTTAATGTTGATTCAGCGGCAGGTTAAATTTAACCGTTAATTCTGTCCGAATCTTTCTAGCCTACGGCAGGCATAAGGAAGGTCTAACTGCCAATCAGTTGTCGGATCAAACCTGATTGCCTCGCTGTGAATGTTGATAACTTTGTACATGTGACAATTATTGGTGCATCGCTAGACGAAGATGATGCTTCCGAAATCAGTAAAACCCAAAAGCCAAAGCCATCCAGCATTTTCTTTTATTCTCTCCTCTGTTCAACTTTCACCATTGACATGTTGACCGAGCTCTGTGGGCGGTAAACAATAGCACTTGGAATCTTCTTCCTTGTAATGTAGCCAAGATATTATGTCGTCTCGAGTTAAGTGCAATCTAATGTACAAAACAAGGGGAAAGGGATGGGAATTTGTTGAGACAAAAGTAGAAAAAACGCAGCTCTTTCGTCCTCACGCTTAGTTCGTAATTTGCATAGATGCTTCAAAGTCTTCATTAGGCCGCAAAAAAATAAAATCACGGTTGTGCCTTCCAAGTCTTTATCATGCACTGCAAGCAACATCGAAGACGCCAAATCTGTCCTAACGTGCCAAAATTCTCTCTTCAAAACAAATACCATCAGTCACAGTCGCCACCTTGCTGCTAGCTATGAGGGTCCTTTTGCATCAATTTCTACATGAAATACTTTTGAGTAAACAGCTGGATTCTGCATGAGATCAAAGCAAACCAACAACGCTTTTTCGTTCCTAGTTAATTTTGTAACATGAATTTATCATATGATATAAATTACAGAAAAAATTCATAATAAAGATAATGAATGAAAGCACCTAAACATTCGACTCACTGATTGATACATTATTTCTTCACTTAAAAAATAAAATTCGAAACCCTTTTCTTCAATTATAAAAAAAATATAAATAAAAATAACATCTGTTCTAATATCATATAAAATCAATGAGATGAATATTCTTGAAATTACTTTAACACTGCTTTAATTACAACCACAACAAATTATAATTAGTTTATCTTCAGTCAAGTTTCGGGGGCTACTGCCTATTAACACCTGAGATATGTCAATGGTTTACGGGTCAATCATTGAAAGCAACTCATATTGTTTACACTGTAAAACGTTTTGGATAAGGTGTTGTGGGATTTGGTTGGTTTGCTTTAACTCTTCAATTGCAAGAAGTTTGAGACGAATTCCTTGGAGCAAAATACCAAGATTTTCAATGCAGCATTCAGATAAACATGTATACTCAGCCAGCAACTTTTAACAACTGACAAAAAAAAAGGAGAAAAGGGTCAAAACTCAAAAGCACTAAGAAGGCGAAAAGATTGAAATGCTCTTGTATAATTCATAACTCATCGATCTAGATTAGTGTTAGTGGTTACTTGTAGAACTTGTTCACATGCACTCCACGACTTTTTTGCACCCCATTTCCCTTTCAGAAAGCGTTCTTTATCTTCATGCAATATCACGAGGCAATGCTTTTCCAAAGGGCCAAAAAGAGACTCTTACAGGGGCCAGTGTCAAGCACACATGGTTCTCCTGGAAAACATTGTCGCAGCAGAAACGAAATAATTGGCTATAAAAAAACACAAAGGGTATTTCCAGGAGTTCACACTTCCACACAAGTCCAACACATTTCGACATTGGATTTCCCCCGAGCCCTGGTTCATTGGGGGACCAATGGCCTTCTTTGGGTCTTTGGCTTTGGCTTTGGCTCTATTAAGATCATCTGCACAAAAACATGGTCGAACAATGGAAACTCAAAGCTAATTAGCATGAAAACTGAGTTTTTTCTGGACTGAGAAAGTCGTCCCATTCCATGGTTTGAATGGCAACATTAATCATGCTAAGGTGCTATCATGATTCATGAAGAAATTTGGCAATTTGTTTTCCAAGGAAATCACTTCGTTTTGATTTGACTAATCTTGGGTCATTTCAACTTTCATCATGTACATTTATAAGTAAACGAAACAAGAATCAATCATAGAACCACATGCTCATCCAATTTTCAATCCACCATAACGATATAGAAATGTTAAAAGGTCAAAAAAGAGAGTTGAAAAAATTGTAAAAAGAATAATAGCAAAAATACTCACTAATCTTCATATTAATTAGAAATTAAAGAAAAAATCGATGCTCTTATCTTTTGACAAGAGAGGGCTTTGAATTTGTAACGTATAGAAATATGTCTTGTCTCGACTTGTTCTTGTAATTGATTAACATGTAGAAGCTAGAGTAAACAATGGCAGTGCAGTGCTTTTCTTTTTCTTTTAATACCTATCCTTTCCCTAATTAGTTAGATTATCATTTTTCAAACTGTATATATCTTTACATTTAATACAGTTTATTACTTCAAAAACCAATTAACATATAATAATATTCAAGAGAAATCAAGTCTAAGTCTTACGATTCATAAAGATAACAAAAACCCGAAAGATAAAACATTATAGAATGACAAATAAACCTTTCAAGTAAATGATAAAATTTGTCTCTCTTATTTAACTGTTGTATCGTAAAAATATTCTCAAAAAAAAAAAAAGAATATATGACACTATAATAAGCAGTACATATATTCCTTGTTTGCCTGTCTGCGAACTTCATTGGGGATGGTGCGTGAAGGACGACGGTGGAAGGGTATTGGACTTTTACTCCAAGAGCTTTGTTTTACCGTCGGACTTCGCTTTGCAATGCAAATGTTTCACTCCTTTGCTTGCTACAAGCTCCCATCCCAAAAATACAATGAGTTGAATTTCGAGTCTTGAGCTCAGTGCATACGATATAAGATACATATTTATCAAAAAATTCTTAAAAATAAAAATAAATTATCAAATTTATATTGTTTGACGAATTATAAATTTCCGATGTATATTCTTAAAAGGGAATAATAGCACGAAACAAATTAATCAACTAGATCGGATTATGAGTCTCTCCTTTAAATAGTAATATTTTATGTTTATACCTTAACAATGCCCTACAAGATGATACATCCATTTCTTGATGAAGAAATATCTTTCTACGTAAAGCAATTCCGAAACAATGAATTATTGCGTAGTACCTTAATTTCATATAGAGTTACACAATTGATTGGATCCCTGCTTGTCGTCCACTCATCCTTCTAGGAAAACTTTGGATCAAAAAAGTTTGTGCAAGGACGGAGCATTCACCTTCTGAAAATGATGCATCAAAACCCACCAATTTCTATTAGGAAACTTCGTGTTCCATACAGCTTTCGAGATATTGAAATCCCATTGAAATAATTTTGTTAAAAGGACAAGGAAATTGACATTTTTACGCATCATTTTGGTGTTCTATGTAAGGAAATCAAGGAAAGAATGAGACCCTTCTATTCTTTTCCTACTTTATTTTTGAATAAGACTCATGATATGATGGCATATATCTCTACATAGTGTAGAGCAATATAAACCATAGAGATCATTGCAATCAAAATCAACATGTACCCTAGCTTGTTTTTCAACATGAATACTTTAAATACATTTAAATTTCTTTTTTTTTCCCATAACTTCAATGAAGGATTTGAAATTAATTAAGTTATCTAATTGTTTAACCAACCATCGTTGTACTTAATTTTTGCTAGAAATAAGTTGTTTTTAATCATAGAAATAAAATACATCATAGATTACGTGCATGAGCTTTAAGTCCCTCTTGAAAGCATGCAGCAAATTGATTAATGCAAAGCTGAGTAGCTCAATATCTCTAGGGCGTTCTTTTGAAAACATGCCATCCATGGAATCAAGAGTACTTTTCTTCCTTTGAGGAAAGCAAACAAATTAATGCTATAACTATTATGCTGAAAGTTATAAAATGAATGTACTGATTTAGCAAACTAAGAAGATTATCAATTGAGTTATAAGCATTTTTCACCAAAAAAACAAAAAAAAAAATCATTACGTAGCAACTCATGTTATATGTTCTGAATTCGATCTTTTTTTTTCGTTTGTTGAAAATAATTGAACATGTTTGACTCTAATCACATGTAAATATCAACTTTAAAGATATATTTTATTTAGGGAAATAAATGACTCAAAAATAATTGAGAATAAAAATGAAAAATGGAATACACAAAGTCGAGTACCGGTAATGCAAAGGAAGAGTTGAAGACAATGAAAGGTGGTGGGGGAAGGGTTATAATGGTCACGTAGTTGTGAAGTTTATAGCTCTTTCTCTTTTTCTGCCAATATTTGACACGTGATTGATGCCTCAACAAGTTGAGTTTCTTCTGTTTTTTCTTATTTTCTTCATTAAAAATGTATTAGGATATAAAAATTTTAATTAAATTAATTAAAATAACAATATTTTATTCATCAATTTATTTTTTCGATAGTAAGGTTATATAAATTTTTTTATGCACAGGTTGATTTAAAATCAAGTGATCATAATTTTTTTCCGAGAAAAAAAAAACGGGTTAAAGGTGAAAGTTTGAAATTCTATTTTGATTAATTCATACACTACAAACATGTAAATCCAAATAATCAAAAGATACTAAATATAAAGAAAATAAAAGTAGTGGTGGAA